CCTGCATAAATACGCCCCGCAAATACAGAAAGCGTGTGCCAAATCGGCGCAGCAGAAACAGGGAGTCCATCACCTGGATTCATCTGCGTCTCAGGGAAGCAAAGGTCGCTTTGGCTCCGTGATTAACCCCCTACCCGCAACCTGGAGACCCGCCACGTAGCATCGCGACTAACCGGCTCGAGGTACCTCTATGAGGGAGATCCGTGGAATAAGAAAGATTTTCCTCCGTTTGAGTTTCGAAATGGTCTTGCTAGAAATTCTCCAAATCGCAGACTCTTACGAATCCCATGGAAGTTTGGCACCTTGCGAACAGACAGCTACCAAAATGGTACTGATTCCTTGCATTGGTTTACGAATTAATTGGGTTTCTGGACGGGAATGTCAAATTCATGAGCCTGAGGAAGCTCCTTAGGAGCACGATGAGATCATGAAGCATTGGTGTGAGATAGAGAACAAACACTATTGGGGGAAATGTCACTAACGTTAACTGCCTAACAGAATGAATGCGAAGAATTCCTATCCTTTAAATTGGTTGCGCAATAATGAGATTGTGACACAGTTCAATCAGAAAATTTTTAAGTAAACCCTCGTCCTTCTGCCTTCTTCAGGACGCTTCTCCAGATTTATTCTCTAGTTTCACATAATGACAACCTAATACAACTTATAATAAAAACTAACAAGACCTGATCTGATCTATGATCCTATATAGTTTGGCAGGAAATCTGTACACTACAAAACCAAGATCGATCAAATTCAAATTAGTACTTAGGACATAATGAACGACGTTAGTTTGTGGATAACTGTCGATTACTTCTTGACAACTAGAATATTTGAGAAAAAGAGAATTCAAAGAACTTATAAAAGACATATGCGATGTAAGCACGGTTGTTTAAAACTTGAAGGTGGAAATATTTCCGGCCGTATATGAGTTGAAATCAATTCGTAGTCCAACAGGTGTCAATAAATGTCAAAAAATTGAAGAAAAAAGAGTGAACGATGAGTCGATGAAATTAAGCTTCTGTAAGGTTATTACCTTCCAACGGTTTAACGCCTCATCGTGGCTGGGCGGTGTACCTCGGTGTCGGACTGCGATGGACAGCGGGTGGATTCGTCCCCCCGGCAGGTTCTCCCAAGCTGAGAAGGAGTCCGGCGTTTTCATCAGGAAGCCTAGATAAGAGTAAGCCAATACCAGGATCCGCCACCGTCCTGGTATCAAAGTCGCATGCTAGCAAGTCTCCCTCTGATCCACAAGAGCTGCGACTGCTTATGGTGGTGAAGACCTGGGGCAGACGTTGGCCAGGCTAACCTCGAGATTCTAGGGAACCACAATGGCTTAATCAGCAAATCTCCGAAAAGTGGTGATTATGCTGAGGCCAGCACAACCAGTGTAGATGGGCCGTTCAAGTATCAAGTAAGTAAGGTTACTTGTTAAGTGAAATGAAAAAGAATGCCTGTAAAATGCTAAGTGAGTTGCAAGAGTAGAAGGACTACAGCTATACGATTTAATCGCCATTTTTGTCATATTCTTAAGAAATCGAAGAGATCTATCCAAGCAACGAAAAGTAAGAAAAACTAGTTCGATGTTTAGTTATTACGAGTTAGATGAGTATCTAAATTAGGCAGTATCAGATTACGTGTACAGAACTTATAACCAAGTAATTGTTACGCATTGCAAGTAATAAATGTAATGTAAATTAAATGTCTCATGTGTTATGATAGGGAAAAACAAACAATAAAGCACACTCAAAATGGAAAATCTGCAGCTTTGTTATCGGCATAATCAGTAAACTCCTTGCCATAGGCTAGACAAACCTGCAAAACAGACTATGGTTAGGATCGTATGTTATGTCTGTTATGCGCATGTTTGGCATATTCTATTACAGGAAATTCTAGGATACACAAGATCTAATAACCTATGTAAAAAACAATCTTTATGTTCGTTTAAATCATGCTAAAAAGAGAATTAGAGTAGGGAGGGAGG